CTTCATTCCTAAACTATACATCATAAGTTCTCGACTATAAATCCATCAGGTAAGTAAAAACAATTTAAGCAACATTTGTGATTCTTAAGGAATAGGATCATGGAGAAACAAATTTTATCAATTATTTGATAAAATTCGGAAGGATTAACCTGGAAAGCTTCACAGAAGAGACCTCTTTCCCATATTCAATTAAATAAACTGCAGTTCCAGAACCTGCAATATATTCAAATGTTCACAACATTCTAAATCATTATATATTATAATCTACATAACACTGAACAAAAATATGTTGATGTTAATAAAGTTGTGGTAAGTTATAATTTTACTGGTTCTTGCTTTTGCACAACAGACCCTATAATTAATGGAAGAGGAGAACCAAACATGATTATATTCTAAGCAAAAAGAAGGTTAAAGTTAAATATAGATAAAATCTCAACGTACATATGAAAATTGCATAAAACCACACAAATGCTAAAATTACTTTCGCAAGGTGAAAATAAGAACACCAGTAGACAAAAAAAATATGTAAATGAAGAGTGAATTGTAAGCTTTTTCAGATAAAACTTGGAACATAAGACTCAGAAGTGTTAATAAAAATCTATCATAGCATCGAACTTTTAACTCTTTTTTTCTTATTAGGTCACATTAAACCCATAATAGCAGTGAAAATTGGTTAGCGTAGAGCTATTTTTGTCATAACAATGATAGTAGCATGAACAAAGCTTGTAGCTACAAGAATTTCAGAAAGCCCCATACATGGCCCACATGACAAGGAATATACAATTGATGAGAATGTCCCTCTTTGGAAACCATAAGACTGAATATGATCAAAAAGTTGGAAATTAGTACAAGTAAATGGAATGAAATACATTTAAAGAACCAAAGAACATAAATTTGTGTGTTTGTTGTTTTTCAAAACAAGCCCTAATTAATGTCCCCTGTTCAGATGTTGTTGCTATGTGCGTGTGCAGCCAATGGTGATTAAATTTGTGTGTATGCTGTTTTTGTCATAGCAACAAAAGTAGCATGTTATCTTTGTTTTTAAAAATGAAAGTAACATGCTATTTTTGTCCCAAAAATGAAAGCGGTTGTAACTGAAAGAAACAAATACACAGGTAAGTCAAAAAGCATGTTGCTTCTTAATGCATTTAGTCATCACTGAATCAATCCTTTCTAATGAAAAACAAACATCATACAAATCTTTGATTGTACTTTGAAAAATCCAGTGTATATCTTTGAGAACAATGCCCTAAACCCTAATTACAAATGCATTCAGTCATCTCTGAATCAATCCTTTCTAATCAGAAAACAACATATACACAAACATCCAGACTTCTAACTCTTTGATTATGCTTTGAAAAGTCCAATGTATATCTTTGAGAACAATGCCCTAATTACAAATGCTTTAAAGTACTATGCCAATATGCTATAATGAGGAAAAAATATTTTTTTTTAAAAAATATGCATTCTTATTTCAACTATTTGTCAAAATTCAGATGGATTAACCTGGAAAGCTTCACAGCAGGGACCTCTTTCCCATATTCAATTAAATAAATTGCAGCTCCAGAACCTGCAATATATTCAAATGTTTTTCAACATTCTAAATCGTTATATTTTATTATCTTCAACACTTTAATTATAAATCAACTACATAACACTGAACAAAAATATGTCGATGTTAATAAAGTTGTGGTAAGTTGATTATAATTTTCTTTTTTATGTGTTTTATGGTTTCAAAAGTGAAATCTTAAAGTTTTTAAGTGTAATAATTTAGTCTCTATTAAAATCAAATAAAGTTTAATTACGTGTAGCCATGTATTTGGAATGAATTCTTAAAGATCTGTTTCAGTTGGACCCTTAGCAGAATAATGGAAGAACATTCAATCATTTAAAAGATTAGAGGAACAGAAAATTAGAAAAATACCAGTAATGAACAAGAACACTGCTCATAGAAAACCCAACAAGCTGGCCAATAGAGGAACTAATACCACACAAACTCTGCATGTCGCCAGCAAGAGAAGGATGGCTTATGCTGTTCTCTGTCACAGAGGCATCTATAGTCACATCTGCTATAGCAACCCCTGCGGTTGCTGTCATAAAAGACAATATTGCCCATACATGTGACAGGTTTGTGCTAAAAGCGGGTACTAGTATGGCCATGGACAGGGGCGGACGCACTCTTTAAGATATAGGGGCACATGCCCCCAATAAGCAGCCCAAATTGTTAAAATGAATTAAAACTAAAAGGTAACTGAATTGCCACTTGGCAGCTTCCCCTTTATATAATAACTCATATCCTTCAATATTTCTTCACCCACTCGATGTGGGATCGCTAAGTGGCAGCTAACATTCATTTCTTTTTCTTTTTTGGCCTGAATTTACTTTCATAAATCTTTTTGTTTTTTTTTTTTTGCTTATTTTAACTTTTCCACTAACTTATGAATAAGTTCCCACTTTTAAACTCGTTTAGTTGTTTTCATTTGTGGTTATATTTATCACTTTTAAACTCGTTTAAAATGTATTTCCATAAAATAATTATTTATGTAATTTTAAGTACTTAGCAATATATAACGAAAGCTAACCTTAAAAACCATAATCCGAGCCAAATAAAGGGTAAAAAAACCGAAAAACCACAAGACCGGACTAGATATTTTGACCATTTAGCTCGACCTTATCATATAAATGGTCCCAAGTGCCCCCAACATAAAAAATTCCTGGATCCGCCATTGGCCAGGGAACCGATTAAACCTGTGAATATACATAACCATCCATCAAATTGATACAAAAACTTGGTAAAAATGTTAAATTTCTACACAAGTTCGTTTGATTTTGCACTTGAAAAGTGGTGGAACATACCAGCAAATATGAAGCAAGGGCGTCTTCTTAATCTGAAAATGGGAACAATATCAGTCATAAGACCCCAAAGAGGTTTAATAATCCATGGGATTTGAATGATCCCATAGTAAAACTGTGCTTCGGAAGGTTGTAACTTCTACACATCTTTCATTTAGTATTGTATGCTCACCCGATACAGACCAATGCTCGTGCCCTGATTGATTCCGTACACAATCATGACAGCTAGAACAAATCTCCAGCTTAATTCATCGCTCAGCATTCTAATCCAATTTATAGGTCTCCAGATCAAATTCCCATCTTTTCTTCTTTTAATGTTGTCTGCTTCGTCCATCTGAGCTGATTTTCCAGCAGAACAGTCAAAAAGAAGTTGTTCCTAATAGTCACATCTAAGAATTGTAACAATACCAGTAGCAGAGACTGGCTTTAGCAGAGACATGTAATAAAAAAAATAAAGAAAAGATGGTAAAATAAATAATAGTAAGTTGGTTTTTTTTCCAAGCCAAACCAAACCTCTCGATAGATGAGCTCTCTAACATCATCTTTTCCCAATTTCCTCCTCTCAAACTCAAACTCCATCTTTGATATGGCATGGGTTGAAGGTTCTCTCTCCACATTCGCCAACCCTTAAAAGTAGGGATCCTACAGTGCCTGAAAAAAGAACCCAATGCCAAAATCAAGTTCTGTAAGGCTCGTCAAATAATGTTTCTATGATCCATCACCAGCAGTCCAAGATCCAGATCTAACAAATTAATAATTAAATAAATAAATAAATATCAAGGACAATGTAGAAAATAACGAGAAATTGACTGATTCAAAGCCTACTTGTGCCAAAAACCTAAGATTAGGCAAGTAACTTGGATATTACATTGATATGCAATAACATCATTTAGAAGTTCGTATCATGATAAAATTCCAGAAACCCTACTCTCTCTCCCTTCCAAAATCAGAGATTACAAATCCATATTACTGAAGATGGCGGAGATTTTGCCCTAAATCAACGGTGTTAGAGGAAGAAACAGAGGAAAAGGTAGCGAGTGTGGATGGAGAGAATGTAGATGAACGATTATAAGCACATCATACCTTTGTTAAACCGAAAGAGAAGAATCGGACCTGCTTCTCATTCAATCGAACCTAGAGGAGAAGAGATTTTCGTCCAGTGGAAGGTGGTGCGCTTTAGTCACCTATCGGAAGATCAAGGTCACAAGCCACAGCAACACAATCATCCAGCAAATACAAGTAGCAGAAGCGCCGTGACTGGAACACGTTCTTGCAGTAATTAAAGAACCACAAACCACCGTTGACGCTAGTGAGGTGAAGCGGTGCCCACGTGATCGAGTTCCTAAAGTACCTCGACTAGTTCGGGAAGACGAAGGTTCACGTGACAGGATGTCCTTACTTTGGCTACCCAAACCCACCCACGTCGTGTGCTTGTCCACTGAAACAAGCTTGGGGGAGGCTCAATGCGCTCATCGGCAGGCTTAGGGCGGCGTACGAGGAGAACGGTGTAAGCATAACATACCATTGTTAAACCGAAAGTGAAGAATTGGACCTGCTTCTCGTTCAATCGGACCTAGGGCTTGTAAGGAGAATAGATTTTCGTCTAGTGGAAATAAGGAGAAAAAGCGGGGTTTTTAACTTTTGGGATTTCCTCCCCCGAATAAAGAACGCGCGCTTCCAAATAAATTTATAAAGCGACATGTTTATACGACACGCTCTTTTTTTCATAGGCACCCTCCATGTTGTTGTTTTTTTACATTAATTTTAGGGCACTCAAAAATGCGTGTCCTATATCCTTTAAATTTCTAGAGAGCTGACATTATTTTTAGGGCACACACTTTTGCGTATCATAAATCAGTGCGTGTCATAAATTGTGTGTCATTAAAGGTTTGTTTTCTAGTATATGATCCCTTATCTAAAGGACGCGTCATTGACTAGGTCAGAGTTCGACAACGGCTTTTGAGAGCTACGATTGCTAAGTCAGATTTTAAAGTTGCATTGGCAGTTATAGTTATTATACTTATCCAAGTGGGAGACTGTTGGATTAGGTGTCTAAGCCCATAACCATAATTGGTATGTACTTGATCTGATAGTAGCATAGTCCTTTTGGGTTGTCTTCACCATAGCAACTTGATAGGATGACTTTTGGAGAAAAAGGTTATTAAATGATTTATTGATATATTATAAGAATAATATATTAATTAGAAGTCAAGTTATTTAATTAGTATTTAATCAGAAATTAATTAGGAATTAATTTTGGGATTAAAGGAAATGATTAAAAGAACGGGGACTAAATATGCAAATCACTGATAGTTGCAGATTTAGGCTGATGGACTCCTTAAGAGAGGAATGGACGAAATCTATAAGAAGCCTTATAGAGATTTCGTCCAAGGCCTTCTAGAAGGAGTGACCATGGACTGCTTAAGGCTTAAGCAATCGAATTAGGGTTTCCACCTGAAAACCCTAGCAGCCTCAGCTATATAAAGACCCCTTTGGCATGTGATTTTCGGCCCTAAGATTCTAAGAGAAATCCTAGCCGATTTTCATAGTGTTCCACCCTCTCTCTCATTCATCCTTTGCTATTGGTGTTTGTGACTCCATTAGAGGTGTATCACTTGAGGCACTAGAGCTTTCAGAAGTCAAGATCAAGCAAGGAATACTTGTTATTACTAGATAACAAGAAAGGTAATTCTTAAACCCTAATTTTCATATAGATCTCGTTTTTGTATGCTAATATTAGGGTTGTTGCTTTGGAAATCTTGTTTGCATGTATAACTAGAGAAAAACTTAGATCCAAAGCAAGTTGGGTTGCATGATTACATAGGAATGTAGATATGCTCAAAGCCCATCATATATGTGTATTGTTGTGTGGGGTATTTTGAAGAACTCACTAAGTGTAACATCTCGAGATAAGGTATGTATTGAAGACCTTTACATTCATTGAATTGTCAAAATTAGCCCTTGTTAGAGAAGAGGTGGCAAATGAGTACGCAGGGCGTACGTATGTGTACGCTCAGTGTACTCATGAGCGTGTTATGGACGCGGAGGCCACCTAGTACGTTGGGCGTACTAGGCTCAGAGAGTTAACCCTAATTAGCTTGTGTGTTCCTATTTAAGGAACATGATGGCCTCATTTCTGGCCACCATTTCCAACACCCTACTCCCCTTAAACCCTATATTCCATTTCCATAGCTTGTGAGAGCATAGTGTGGCTTATTGAGTGTTTTGGTGAAGTTCTTTGTGAAGAAGGAGCTTTGAAGGAAGAAGAGTTGGTGTCCTAGCTTTTGGATCTGAGTTTCCCTGAGGTTGAAGCATCATTTAGAGGTATCAAGCTCAAAGCTTTACCATTATTTTGTTTAATTCATGTATTGGTCCATTTTAGGGTTTATGTCCCCAAAGTTTGAAGCTTTAAGAGTTGATGAACTCCAGAGCACAATACCTGTCCATTTAGATGTCCTTAGACGTTTGGGGTTTATAAAAATGGAGTCTTGGTTGTCAAGATCTCTCCATCCATGAGATATGTGGACTTTTATGGTGAGAGTATTAGAGTTTATGAGATCTAGACTTGTACAGCCTTGCTAAGGCTTAAAGTCACCAACTTTATGTAGTAAGAGACCTTACTTAATCAAGATCTGAGATGGTAGCCTTTGTCTTAATGGATTAAGACTAGTAGAGAGGGAAAAAGTGAGCATGTGACGTACGCCGTGCGTAACCCTAGCTACGCGCCGCGTAGCGCTGAGCCACCCCGATGCATGCATGGCTGGCTGTACGCTTAGCGTAGAGAGACATATGCCCAGCGTACGCGTCGAGTGTTGACTTTTGTTGACTTTTAGGGTTTTGGTCAAGATGTGGACTTTTGAGGGGAAAATGGTCTTTTTACCCTCCTGAGGTTTAGTAGAGGACTTGGTCTAACATTTATGGGATATTCATGTCAATTGTTAATTAGAGGTATATGTGACATATGTTAGGCGGAGAGTAGATTGGCAGATCGAGTGCAGGATTACTTACCTTTCTTGCGAGGTGAGTCTTCTCACTATACTTACCTATGTGGTAATTACTGCGTGACCAGAGGGTCTTATCTGAGTTATTGACCGGAGGGTCTTATGTGCTTATAATGTGTTATGTGATATTAAGCATTATGTCTTTGTGAATTATGTTGTATATTATTCTATGCCATATCGAGACACTGGACTGGAGGGTCCAACCCGAGTTGTGAGACCGGAGGGTCTTCACTAAGACACATAACCGGAGGGTCCTTATCGAGATATAGTCATGAGAAGCTAATTATTTGTGTGTGGTATTTTGGG